TTTTCACAGGTTCTGCATCTCTTGAAAGAACACCCTTCTATCAGGGTCCTTCTGGAAATTCCTGACGAACCCAGTGATGTTACAGCGGATGTTGTGGCAGCCCTTCTGAAACCAAACTACTCGGTTTTGGGAAGCAACAAAAGACCAAGAGAGGAGTTGATGGTTGTCAAAATCCGAGTTTTTCCACACAGTTCATGGTAAATATACAGGATATACGGACAATGATCTTTTGCTGATTGTAGAAATTACCCCGCAGTTGCAGTGCACACAAATACAATGGGTATAGAAAAAATAATCACCCCCTTTGAAAGACTTAAGTAGAGATCATTTGTTATTCACTAGCTTTCTCAAACACTATATAATCATATAATCATGACCGGATTAAGAGTATTGTCTTCGTCTTCATCTTCCTCCACTTATCCGGGTCGCGGGGGCAGCGTCCCAACTAGAGAGTTCCAGACTGTCCTCTCCTCGGCCACCTCCACCAGCTCCTCTGGCAGGACCCCAAGGCATTACAGGTGGTCCATATCATATCATTCACAATATTATCAGTAATTATTTCTTGTCCAGAAAAAAAAATCTATCAACATTCATGATGTAATTGCATCTACTGAGGATTACACTCACATGGGTCATGCACTGTGGAGCTAGTAGAAAATATGGCTTGAATCTAACAGTGTTGACTCATATCAGCTATCATATTGTAATGATTGAGACTCTCTGGTTGCTCTTTTATGGGTATTATTCTTGGGCTACTGTCGCCGTAACCCACACCTTACAAACTCGTAACTTTTTCAAAAGAATCGCTCATAACGGAGTATTTTCTAGCACCTTCAAATTAAAATGTTAACCCTAACGTTAACTATTCAAACCGTTACAACATGTTGGATGTCATTTGGCCCCTCCGACTCACCGTAGATGTTTCCTGATTACACGAGGGAAGGGTTTGGCCCACCTCTATGCACAAGCAAGATGAGCAGAACTTCGTTGGCAGCCACCATGAAAAGGCTCGCTGAAACATGAACAAACAGTCCTGAATAATTAAAACCCAGGAAATCAAATGCAAAGTTTAGGCCAGAACATTGACCCAGAGGTTTTCTGGTTGAGCAGACTTGTGAGAATACACGTAATGACCACTTAAAGACTGCGCAAGCTAAGGTATATCGATATAAAGTCATCCTATTTATTGTTTGAAAATATATAGATATTTTTAAAGGAATTTTCAAGCGCTCAAGCACGCTCAGTGATTAACATCTGCACGTAAACAGTAGTCTAATGCTATTGGTTAGTGCTGACCGGTGGTCAGGTCATAATGCATGGAGCTCTATGGGACAGAGGGCAGGCTTAAAAAAAATAAAAATTAAAAAGGCTTATTGATTCAGTCACAGTAGACAATCCCTTTTATGGATTTCTGAAAATGCATACATAATTCCTGAAATAAGAAAACTTCCTACAGCATCTTTAAGGGGAATAAAACAAATTTCTTAAAGCTTGGTTTGTGCTTGACGCGTTCACTTTCCGCTTGATGATGCGGCTCGCGGATGGAACGCGCTTCACAACTCGCAGCGTTTATGGTTCGTGCGGCTCGTCTCTGCGGTGAGCCAATATTCTCCCAAACTGAACGGGGCAGCATGGAGCTCTACGGCATGCATCCAACACTACACCATAGTAGAAGTTAAAAAGACTGTTTACAACATGGCATTTCAGCATTTTTAAAAGCGCCCTCATCTTTTCCGACAGTGCGAGCTATTTCTCTCCAAGAATTATTAACAACATGTTGATCACGGTGATCTCTGAGAGCTGAATCATACAAATGTCTGTATTTACGAACCTCTGCCATACTAGTTCTTGCCGGTCCACCATGTTTTTCCGTGTCCGACCGTCCGCGTGGTTAGAAAATTTCTTAGGTGCGCGTTGCGGAAATTTTGGGCAGTGCGGCGACGCGGTGGAGGGGCGGGGTTGTTAAAATGACGCAATTTCGCCGCGCGGACGCGTCAAGCATAAACCAACCTTAAGCCAGTTAATTTTCTAAATTTGCCATTGCTGCTTTGATTAGATAAACACCTGTCAGAAATCAGTATCCATCACCTGTTTATTGTCTTCCTTCATTCCCTCAGTACTATTTAAGCCCCTCTCATGTCTCGTTTTGAGGTTTGTTAGCTTGTTGTTTGTTACACTGGATATCTTTATTTATTAAAAACTCAAATTTAAGTTACCTGGTGAGCCACCTTGATTTTCACATTTGCGTTTGGGTCCTCCTCCTCAGCAAAGCTTGTAGGTGAATGTGTTTACTGAACAACAATATGAGCTCAACGCTTTTGTTTTTGCTCCCATTTTTCATGAGCTGAACTCAAATATCTGAAAAATTGTCTACAAACACAAAAGACTCATGGCTCTTAAATATGGTTCTGAAATCTGTCTACATGTGTGTTAGTGAGCACTTTTCCTTTACCTCACAGGTGTGGCAAATCAAGGGGCTGATTAGTATGAGGATTGCTGTAAAGTCACTACTCCAGAGCAGGTACTCGGAAGGTTCCTTAAAACGGCCTGAAAAACGACCGTTCGGACGTGCATGTCGGGAGGTTCCTGTAAATCTACCCTGAAGTTCTTGTAATGGAAACATGCCTATTGCTGATCTTCTCAGTCCTTGCACCCCCAGCAGGTTCCTGAGCAGTGGCAGCACTAGGGGGCGCTATAGCTACCCCTGGATTAGTCATTGCACCCACATAGTACCCCCAAGTAAATAATAGATTTTTTTTTTTTACAATTTAATTTTAATTTAACGTGTGGATGTGATAATATTTAACATACAAAACAAAAATAATCAGTAAATGATCATATAGATAGTAAAAACTGAAACCAAAACAGGAAGTTGATGTTAATTAACCTTTGTCCTCATTTTCCACCTGCGAACGAGTGAAAGGTAGAGCTAGTGGTAAAATGGATCGGTTTTTGTTGCCCAAATTTCCACAGGTTCAGTCAGAAACAAATTATTCTTTGGAAGTGATCTCAGACCCACAAAAACCTATGGATCTGGATGAAGAGAGTCAACCCTCAGCCGCCGCAGCAGTGGAGGGTTTTGCCGCTGGAAATGCTAACACTAACGTTAGCTAACCTTGCAACACTATAGATGGCTTTCTGTGTGGCTGTATGTGTTTATGATTTCATGGAAAAGTAAGCGATTGTTCATATGTTTATGATGTATATAAATGATTGTTTCAGGTGTTGTTGAGGTTTTGTGCACGCACATGTATCTGCTAGTGTTGAAAGTGTTTTAGAGAACAATAGGTACGCATGACCACTTCCTTCATAGCACCCTCAACAAAAAGACTAGCTCCTTCATAGCACCTGCAGAAAAAAAAATTCTGGAGCCGCCACTGTCCCTGAAGTCCAGTGACTAAAGCCTACTGGGATTGCAGCACACCAGGCTAAAGACTAAAGGTGACAGATCATTTGCTGTTGTGGCCCCCAGGCTCTGGAACGCTCTCCCCCTGAGCCTGAGGTCAGATTTTTTTATATTTTGAATATTTTGTTCTTGTGACACGCTTTGTGATTTTTATCTTGAGAAGCGCTATATAAAAGATAATTGTCTCTTTCTTTCCTTCCTTTAGTTTCACCTTTGAAGTTGAAATGCTGACATAAATGAACTTCTGCACCAGATTCAAAGTTTTTGAGTTTCACCTTTATTTTAATTTCTTAAATATTTTCTTAATTTTGTCCTTCATAATCCAAAGGAACTGAAAAACTAATCCTTTCTAATAGGGATGGACAATATATCGGCATCAATATCGGTATCGGCCAATGTTAGTCATTTTTAACACATCGATACCGGTTCGATAAATAAAACCGGGCCGATATTATTTCCATCTTGTTTCCATTTGTTTGCCTGTTTCAGAGGGTGAGAGCAGTGATGTGTGATTGTTTAGTCATGTGAACAGTGAATGAAATAATCTCAGAAGCGTAAATGTGTGTGTTGTGCGTACATAATAACGTAAATTGAGCTTGAATAATTTTCGTTCTATTCAAAATCTGCTGATTTTAGAAGCATTAATATCAGTATATCAGTATCAGCAAATATCGGTTGTCGGCCATAACAGTAATATTAATATCGAATATCGGTATCCGGCCAAATATTTCATATCGGTGCATCACTACTTTCTAAATTTTCTTTGGCTTTTGATATCCATGTTTCCCCACCTCCCCCATCAGAACATCCCTTTTGAAAACTTTCTAAAGGCACTTCTGCAAAGGAATATTTAATAAGTCGTGTTTTGTGTGTACCACATCTGTTTCCAACAGTCGTGATTCGAGTTGGGAACCAGGTGTTTCTGAGGTTAAACTACCTGTCAGAGTGGAGTTCACTGTGACCTGGACATGAATGTGAAATACTTTTGATTTGCATCATGCTCATGTCAGTTTTGTTATCAATAGTCAGAGATATTTTTGTGTGAATCTGAATGAAATCCAGAGAGCCGTCACCCTTCGGAGTCTTTATTTTCCACATTCTTTGAGTATTTACTGCTGTGATGTTTTATTCCCACTTCTAATTTGTACTCAACTTGCCCATTCTTTATATTTCAGGCACAGACTCCTCATGTTGACTTGGTCAGAAACAAAGAATGTAAAGAAAACAAGTATAAAAAAAACTAATTTAAGGAAATATTTGAAAGGCCTCTCAAAGCCACAAGCAAAAAACAAATTTAAAGTCTGTCTCAACAAAAACACTTTTAGTCAGTACTGTAAAATTAAATGTAAACGCAAACATTTTTTTTATTAAACATGACGAAAAAAGTCATTTCATGTAAAATATGAAAAACACATTATTTAATAAAAGTAAACTCAAGGTAGCAATTCCACAATATACAGTTAGAAAGTATAAAAATAAATGATGGATTTGGTTTTTGTTGCAGTAAGAAATGATCATGATTGTTTGGTCTCACCGTGCCAGCAGAACACTGCAGCTCAGCTCAGAGTGGAAAACAATACAGTTTAAATATTACACACACACACACACACACACACACACACACACACACACACACACACACACACACACACACACACACACACACGCGCGCACACACACACACACACACACACACACACACACACACACACACACACACATAGTAACACTGCCTGCACTATAACTGTAACACAGATAAATAACTTAATAACTGAAAAGTGCAAAAGTGAAACTCTAGTCGTCAATGGCAGTGAATGAGTTAATAAAGAATTTATCATGTTCACATATGTTTTCAACATTTACTCTTGAATATAACAGATTGAAGCATCATGCTTCACGTCACGTTCGTCTTCAGGAGTTGACTTTTCCGTACGTTCCCTCTGGAGGTCGGTAGCACTTGGGGAAGGCCATCAGCTGCAGAATGTTGAAGGCATATTTCCTGCATCTAATATTCTTTTGAACGTTCTCAATCCGACATCCTTCTCTGATGAGCAAATAAAGATGGAAAAACAGAAAAGTGAAAGAATGAAAAGGAGAACAAAAAGGTAAAATTTAAAAATGACAGGGGCCTTAATAAGAAATGTCACATCATTTTTGTCGCTCATGTTCAAAATTTTTAATAAAATTTGATTGTTTTAAAATTATTATTGTAATTTTTAAAGACTATATAATTAGCGAGCCCATTGATGACTAGCTGCCACTGAGCCTTAGATACAGTTTTAATGGCACATCTTTGGGGGCAGATCTGTGGTCCCTCACACTCACTATTGGACGCTGTTATAGAGAAACCTTACATATACAAGCACGTGTACACACACAGGTGCTCACATGGTGCTCTCATAAGTATGGACATGGGCACGTTCAACACATGTCTTACGGCTGTGGTTGGTACTTAATGCACTGTGATTTATTATTGTGTGATTGTTCAGTAAAACAATGTTGTTTTTATATTTCCTCATCAGGTTGACACAGTGATAGTTTGCTGTAGCTGCTGTAGCTGTATTGTTGTGCGTTGCTTTTCTCTTTCTGCAGGTTTAGAATCAGACTCTTGTTCATCATTGATTGTTTATTTTTGTGGAACCCCCCTTCCTTTGGTCTCTTCTTTTCTCTTTCACCTCTGTCTCCGTGTCTGGTCGGAATTATAACGCATTCTAAAAACAATAACAAAGTTTTAAGTATCAGGCGTGACATTAAAGCAGAAGCTTTGATCCTCCACTTGAGAGTAAATCTGTAAGGCTTGTGACCAGCATTCAGGCATTAATTATGTTTGCTTCACAGCCAGACAGGGCACGGGGGTAAATAAATAAATATACTGTTTCAACTGTAACTCCAGATTTAGACTTTGTGTAGTCCTGAATATCTCATGCTAAATTTAGACCCCGTTTAACCTTATCTGAGCCTTTAACTCCTCCCATATCAAACATGAATGTTAAAAAAAAGTTAATTCGGCCCAAGTTTATATTTTGTTGCAAATTTTCAATTAAAAAATGTAATGTGAAACAAAAACAGTTAATTCAGTTAGAGATGAGTTGAAGTCTAAGAACATCTCTACTAAATTTTAGTTGCAAAAATCAACAATTTTAATATTTAACATGAAAAACAAAATTAATAAAAAGGCATCTACCACTTGCTTTTCTTCTACTTCGGCAACCAGTGCCTTGATCTCGCCATCACTGAAGTCTGTTTTTTTTTTTTTTGGAGAGGAATGCAGGAATTTCCCTCATGAGCTTAGAATTTGGTGTGACTAATTTTGGTTAACTGAGGGCCTTTCTGTATGTAAATAACTAACGGACACAAGCAATCAGTCTATTGTGGAGGGACATGTGTATGACCAGCCATTGCATTTTTCATTAATCAGGATTTTGGCTGTTCATACGAACATCTTAACATTTGAAGGATGGAAAATAGGAAGGTTTCTAGGAAGGTTTGATAAATGCCTCCTGGTTCGTTTATTCAGCTCTTGATTGGTGTTCTGATTTTCTATCAGTCTTACTACAAGTGCTTTTATCCAAAGTTAGACTTTTTTAACAATAGAAAGTTATTATTCTTTACACCTCATTAATGGGGAACTTGACAGTTTTGGCTTGCTTTTAGCACCCCCTAGTGCCCGTTAGTAAAACTGAAACCAAAACTTCCTCGATGTGTGTTTGTCTTTTTTACACCTTTATCTAACAGCAGAAACATCTCCCAGCCTTCTTTAGTGCCTACAAGAGTGGTTCATCACTAAATAAAAACAAATCAGCTGTGTTCATGATCTAAAGATTTTTTCCAGTTTTATCTTATACCCAACAGAGCTAGTCTGAAGTTTGTTCATTAGTTTTCCTTCGCTTATCGGGGTCCGAGTCGTGGTAGGGCATCCCAGACAGCCCACTTCCTAACCACCTCCACCAGCTCCTCCAGCAGGATCCTAAGGCATTCCCGGGCCAGACTGAAGATGTACTTTCTTCAACGTGTCCTTGGTCAACCCGGATCCTCCTGTCAGCAGGACATGCTCGAAACACCACCCCAAGAAGGTGTCCAGGAAACATCCTTAAAGATGCCTGACCCACCTCAACTGGCTACTCTCAATGCGGAGGAGCAGTGGCTCTACTCTGAGTCCCTCCCGAATGTCCAAGCTCCTCACCCTATCTCTTCGGCTGAGGCCGACCACCCTCCAGAACACCTCCTGGAACTGTCACCGTACCATGTTGGAGGAGTTTGAGTGCCCTGATGATCCTAGGAGTTATGTTGCCTGGGGCAATAGGTCCTAGGTGATGGGTGAGACAAATACTGGTTCAGAGGACTCTTCATGATTGCTGAACCAAAGAGCCAGAGTACCCAGCCTAGAGGGTTACCGGGGTACCACCCTGGAGCCAGGCGTGGGTTGGGGTCTGTGAGCGAGCGTCTAGTGGCCCGGGGCCCAGCTCCAACTGGATTCGTGGGCTCATCCAACTGTGGACCCATCACTTGCAGGAAGAAGATGAAGGGTCCAGTGCATTGTAGATCGAGTAGCAGACCAAAGCGGGAATAGTCCAATCCCCGGATAAGAAAACTATCTATTGGGACAGCTGAAGTTGCAAGTGAAATATCTGACCACAGAGGGTGGTAGGGCTTGATGGTCCTTCATTAACCCTATAAAGGGTCATTTTTGTACATACTGGCTCAAGAAAATCATTTAAAATATGAAAAAGTTGCAAAGTATCCCTTTAAAATATTTAGAACAGTTCAAAACTTTTGTCACAACCTTATGACGAAAGATCCAAATGCTCCCAAAGCTTAGTATTAACTGGAGGTTGCCTTTGAAGAAAAAAAAAATTAAAATAAAAAAAAACTAATAACTGATAAACAATCTGGAAGCAACCCAAACTTCATCGTGAACAGGAGAGCTTAGCTGAGTGGGCGTATTAGCTTGTATCTCATTTCAGTGTGACGTTTACCGTTTGTGCCCCGACACAGAAACAGGTTTCATTAGAGCCAAGTTCAGGTGTTCAGGAATCACCTCAGTGGTGGAACAAGTCATAACAAATACAAAAATGGAACCATCGTGGAAAGAAAAATTACACAAGAGATGGAAACATATCTGAAGCACAAACATGACGTAAAAATGTGTCTGAATAACAGAAAAATCCAACAGATAACTCCAGGTAGGCTTTGTTTGGGTTGGCCATGTGCCAGGGATGATTAGAATCACTCTTTCATGAGCATTTGAAACTATACCTGCCGATGTGTTTTTCACTTTGTTTCCTCGCTTCTGTTGTCAGTTGAAGCATTTATCAGTGAAGCAAAAGCAGGATTAGACACATGAGGCCGCTACAAATACAACCTCAACACTAAAATAGAAGTTTAAACATCAGCAGTAACTAGTCTCATTTACTTTTTGAATGTTGTACACCTCACTGTGGTTCACAGTAAAGGATGGCAACGTGTTAGAAAAGTGATTTGCTTTAGAGAAAATTCATTAGCTCAAAAGATATTTTAGAATGTACGAGTCTGGGGTTTATCTGCAGCAGAGAGCAGAGTGCTATCTGGACACTGACAAGCTATTTAACTAGTTTTCGAATCGTGGTTCCGCTACAGCCTCAAACAACATGTTGTAAACAATACCGAACCGCTTTAGTTTGGAGAAACTGTGAATATTTAATATTTTTTGTGGTTCTTTGTTAAACACAGTAATGTGAGTTTGTTTTTATCTTAGCTGACATGTTTCAAAAAATGGAACATAAAAAGGAGTGTGAGAAGCAAACAAGTTGAAGGCACACAAGGGCAGCAAAACAAGAGGCAGAAAGTACGGAAAAAGAAATCATCCGTAACAGACCGCTGCACAAGGGAACACCATATAATGGACTGGGACAGCACATGGATCATAAACACTGAGCAGCAGAAATTCAAAAGGTGGATCAACGAAGCAATTGAGATGAGGAGATGTGGATCCATGGTGGCCCAGTTGTTAGCACCGCAGCAAGAAGGTTGCAGGTTTGAAACTCGGCTGCTGCCTTTCTGCGTGGAGTTGCATGTTCTCCCCATGCATGGATTTCCTCCAGGGACTATGGTTTACCCCACAGATCACAACATGTCCTACAGGTTAAAAATTGTACGTCGCTTTGGATAAAAATGTCTGCCAAATAAACATCCAGGACCATGGACCACTCATGGGACGTAGTGATGAACAGAGAGTGCACGGGCAGTAGCTCTGACGAAGGAGGCAGTAGACGTCGAAACATCAATCAATCAATCAATCAATCAATCAAAGCTTTATTTATAAAGTGCCTTCGGCAACCCTGTCAGGAAGCCCAAGGCGCTGAAAAAATAATAATGAGAACCACTCTGATCATACTTCCCCCCTCGCTGTTACCAAGGCAACAGTGAACGGTCATCAAAGAAGAAAGGCATATGAAATAACTCATTTCCCTTCTTCCGCTTCGCGCTCAAGAGGAAGTATCAGTACCTTATCATCGTGGTTAACGAGACTGATCACTTTAGGAGCACATTTCTCAAGTTAAAAACTAGAAATGATCCCTGAAAGTATAGTCTAATTTTTGTTGGCAAAAAGTTGACAAAAGTTGTTAGTCAAAGCAAAAATTAGACTATACTAACATGTCAGCTGAGATTAAAACAAGCTCCTCTAATCCTGTGATTTGAACAAAGAACCACAAAACATGAATTCTAACAGAAAACAGAACGAACGTATAGCAAAAACTGTGATTGTTTCTGATCAAACGGATAACTATGGGTTTAAACACAAAACACTCCAACCTGAAAATTTTCACAGAAGCTTTTGCAGATGATTCATAACCTGCCATAAATGTCTTATTTCATGTTTTTTTTTTTACTTTTATTCATTATATCATTTGTCAAAACCAACTTTTGTTTCTTTACAATGAGGTTGTTTAACAGGCAAGATGCTATACGAGGGCTCTGGCACTGTCATGGAGCCCCAAGCAAAAACACCTGCTGTCTGGCATGAACACAGCAGACTTTTTTTATTTAGTGACGAATCACTCCTGT